AAAAGACCTACGGTTAAATACCCAAATCCATTTATATCCCCGTTTTAAAAGAGGTGTATGATAATAATTAGAACAAAACTCAATTTTTTTCAGATTGTTTTCGGTATAGTGAAGGGCTGGATGACTAGTATACTGGATTTTCAGCGTTCAGCAGGCGGGGCAGAAATGTACTTCCGGTGTGGCGGCTGGTGTGGACGATGTGGTCCAGTTGAAGAAGAAATGAAATTTATTTTGACAACGGAAGTGGGTGAGACATCTTAACTCTTTGGTTTCTTTTATGAATTTTTCTCTGTCGAAATTTGGGAACTTGATACATATATATTATTAAAATGTTGATTTTTATTCATCCTTGTGAAAAAAAAATAATTCACGAAATATAAAATTTCAGGGGAAAGAGACAAATAACATCTCAAACTTATGTAACTACGAGGTCATACCTAAATGAACTAAATATTTTTTCCTCTATATAACAACGAAATTTTGACTTTACTTAAATATTCATTTTGGGTACGTTTCGGGCCAGCACATCCTTAATATGTTTCTAACAAGAACATTTATATAAAGCTTATTATTCACACGTACTTGCAGTTGCAATTTCAGAAGCACTGTCGGTGATTTGTCCAGGGAAATGAACTCCATGATTCCAGAAATCATCCTCATCATAACAACGATGGAATATGTCCTCTGGAACAGGAATTTGGAACAACTGACTTCTACAATAATTTGAAATTGATTTTTTTATTGCATTCATAGTATGATTTTTTTAATCATCATTTTAAAAGAGAGTATGAAAAGGAAAGATACATTTACTATGTTTTCCATGTATTTAAATGACATTATATATTATGTTACTAAGAACAATATAAATAATGTACATCACTCTTCTTTTTCTTATACTGATGTATGATTATATTTGAAATAAAAACCATCAATGAACATAAAATTCAACAACAATAAAAATCTCTCTACAGCACGATTAAACACAAGATTTTAAAGATTTTGAATAAAATCGTATATATTTAGAGCTTATTTGACATCAGAAAAGAAAGTCAAAAATGAATATTAATATTGAGAAATACACAATTTTGTTCACCTCATATTTCTCACTTTGTATATGCATGTATTAATTGTGTTAATTTATGTTATGTTATTAATGTTCATGACTGTATGCCGACATGGTAATTGTCAATAAAGTGAAAAAAAGCATTAAAAAAAAAAAAAAAAAAAAAAAAAAAAAAAAAAAAAAGTATTATCCATACCCAATGAACGTCAAGAAATCCCTATCCCTTCTTCTCTCTAAAAAGTGCGTTTTTATGCTGGTCAGGATGTATTTACTTTAGAAAGTCAAAACAGTAAAATATTACTTGTGGTAATAAAATGAATGAGATTTGAAGATAATAAACATTGCCTAAAAGATCCATTCAGGATATAAAATCAGGAGCACAACAATGACGGGGAGCTTATCTCAGAAAAGGGATCAAATACCATGGAGGAGAAAGCATCACGTGACCTTTTTAAAAAGGAGACAAATAACAGTCATAGTCTTATAATGATTTACTGTTTTTCTTTTTTATGCTCCTATGAACGAAGTTTCAGGTGTATCTAGTTTTTGTCCTCTCTCTCTCTCTCTCTCTCTCTCTCTCTCTCTCTCTCTCTCTCTCTCTCTGTTTGTCCGCAAACACTTTAACCTTGCCCATAACTTTTGATTAAGTGGAGCTATTACTTTCATATTTCACATGTGTATTCTTTGTGATTAGAACTTTCCTTGGGTACCACCAAATTTGACTCATTGACATTTGACCTTGGGGTGTGACCCACTTCTACACAAAAATTCCAAAATTTCACTTCGGTCATATCTTTTGAACAGTATAGATACCAGCGACTTTTATTCTTCATATACGTATTTTTTGTGGCAAGACCTTTGATTTTAAAATTACCAACAACTTTGATCTTTTAACTTTGACTTTGAAGATTCACGTTCTTATGAAAAAACTTTAACTTTTGAACGGAAAGGGCTAGGGCTTTCATACTTCACATATGTAATCCTTTTGAGAAGATATTTTATTGGATATCAAAAACGTTGACCTTGACCTTGGATTTTGACCTACATTTTACAAACTTAAACCTTGGTCATAATTTTTGAACGGTGAAGGCCACCACTTTCATTCATACTTCCTATATGTAATCTTTGAGATAAGGCCCTTTTTCAGAAACCAACAACCTTGACCCTTTGACATTTACCTCGGAGTTTGTCCTACTTTATAAACGTTAACCTTGGTCATAACCTTTTAACAGGTGGTGCTAGGGTTTTATATTTCATATTAGTATTTTGTGAAAAGGTCTTACTTTAGGTACTAGTATCAACATATTTGATCTGCATTTGAGAAAGTTTATCCTTCGCTATATTGCCAGACGGGGCATCAGTGTTTCACCAACACATCTTATTATCCGCCGGGATCGATAGATCCGGGGCGTATACATTGTTTTTGTCCTGTCTGTCTTTTTGTCTGTTTGTCTTCAAACTTTAACCTTCGCCGTAACTTTTGAACCATAAAAGATAGAGACTTCATATTTGAAATACATACTCCACTGATGAAGTTACACATGTATTTCCAATGATACCAATGTCAATGACATTGTGACCTTGACTGTGACGTATGTACTAAAAATAGCATTTTTGTCTTTAAAATTTAACCTTCGACATAACTTTTGAATCATGTTGGATATAAATACTTCATATTTGGTATGTTTACTTCACTCTTTAAGTTCTTTCAAATGACACCAAGGTCATTGACCTTATAACCTTGACTATGACCTATATGCTAAAAATAGCTTAAAATTTTAAACCTTAACCATAACTTATAAACCATGAGAGATAGGGACTTCATATTTAGAATGCATACTTCACTAATCAAGTTCTTTCAAATGACACCAAGGTCATTGACCTTATAACCTTGACTATGACCTATATGCTAAAAATAGCTTAAAATTTTAAACCTTAACCATAACTTATAAACCATGAGAGATAGGGACTTCATATTTAGAATGCATACTTCACTAATCAAGTTCTTTCAAATGATACCGAGGTCAATGACCTTGTGACCTTGACATTGACCTATATGCTAAAAATAGCTTTTTCGAACTTTGTGCCGCCGTGTGCATAGTGTTTCACAAACACATCTTGTTTTAACCCTAAAATTGAAAGAAATTTTGCTCTAATTTGTTCTGCGAGCTTGGCAATTTGGTCGATTTTACTCTCACACGCGCACGTACGCGTCGTATGCGTAATTTTAGCATGCTCACACTGGGAAAATGTAGCTAGTGTTTGTCAAGACTTTTTTACAAACATCCACGTGCACCAAACCAGCTGGATTCTGTACATTCTATCCTAAATCGAAATTTTGTGGGATTCATTTGGTGGGGGAATTTGTTGGCTTTGGAATTATTCAGCTACTCTCAGCCATTACGACTAGGTACCGTCGGAAGGGTTGCTGGATAATAATCCTATGAGAAAGATAAATGCTTTGGTGAACTCAATGCACAAGAAAATCAAGTCTGTTACTGCATGATGCGCAAGGGAGATTTTTTATTTTGTGGGGTATCGACATAACTCAGAAATTATCAGTCAAAGTCACACAAAATTTTGGTAACTTGTTGATTAAAGGTGAATTAAAATGTGTGATAACAATACAGGAAAATATATTCGAAATAATAGTTTTAATTTTATTTGAAAGTTTGATATGCGTTTCTTTTTCCTTTTCACGGTATAATTTGTCAAAGTATTGTTTGCGAAAGTTTATTCCATACTAGTATATTCAAAAATTAGTTAATTTATTGTGTGGTTTTTGTTATGCCCCGTATACGAAGTTTTGGGGGGTATATAGTTGTTGTCATGTCTGTATGTCTAGCTGTCTAGCTATCTCTTTGTCTGTCTGTCTGTTTGTCCGCAAAAACTTGATCCTTGCCCATAACTTTTGATTTAGTGGAACTTTGAGTATGAATCATATGCATGTGTATTCCTTGCGACAAGACTTTTCTTTGGGCACCACCAAATTTGAATTTTTGACCTTGACCTTAGAGTTTGACCCACTTTTATTGGCCAGAGATCATATACAGTTTCGTATTGCGATATATTGCGATATTTTTAACTGTATTGCGATATGTATTGCAATATTTTCAATGAAAATTACAATGACATTTTCTTATTTTATAAACATGATAAACTTTAACTTAAATGAAAAGGAACCAAATGGGAAAAAATCTGTTGGTTTTATTCAACAATGTTCAAGTTAATTATACTCTGAATTTTATGAAACGTCCATAAATCAACTTCTGTCTAAAATTTTGGCTTTATAACAAACATTTCTTAAATCTATTTTTATATTTAATTAAAAAATTCCTAAGTCGAAGCATTTTACTGATGTATTGATATTCCAAAAACGTATTACAATACGGTACGTAATTTTAATTTTTTGTCAAATGTATTGCAATATACCAAAAATATCGATATATTTCCCAGCCCTGGATTTGAATATTACATAATTGGTATTGAAAGAAGTTTGGATCCCCCATGGTAGATCTTGGAATATCCAAGAAACGAAAATCCAAAATTCCAGCTTGTAATAAAACAGATCGGGTTCGAAGTTGCGCAATTATTCGCTTTTGCCACTGAGGCCGAGCTCGGAGATCACTCTCTACCATCGGCTCATACATTCACCTCTGTCGTTGGCTCGCGTATACACAGTGTTAAACATGAGAAATAGTGCGTTTGTTTTAATTCATTATAATTCAATTTCTATGCTTATGTCTGAGTTTTTAGAAAGATATTTACTAAATCAATACAGAACTATTAATTTGAATTGAAACAATCCTTCAAATATCTCGTTTTATACGTTATGTCAAAAATCTTGACATGAGCCCATCGCAGAGGTGTCTGAGAGAGGAACGAACGACAACTCTGCATAGGAGATTGCTCGGAGATGAGAACAACCCACCAGATTTTTCTTTTTGAGTTTTTCTTCACATCATGCACATAAACTCCACAAGATACTGTGCGTGTACTTTACAAGGATGAAATCTTATTCATACAAGGCATTACTTTCAAAAAATGGAACTCATTTATTGACAGGTATGTAGAATTGATGACAACAACGTAGTCGATATCCCGAGTTTCCTCATATTTTTTAACAAGTTCGACATAACCTCTTAATGAAATATTCAAGATAGCTTTATTTGATTTTTCACGGGTACTGGAAGTTAATATAAATATTGAGTATGTGCATGTTTATAACACGGGGGCTTGTCACGAAATATTTATCTTCTTTTAATAAAGTTACCCCTACTATAAAAATACACAAGGGAGGAATCTAAAAATAGGAAATTCGCTACCACAAATTTTGACTGGACTTTTTATCTTGTTTTTGGGCGACTTTCGTTGCGGACCAAATAGGAGTGAGTGGAGTATAGATTCAATTTTAATATTCTTCAGTCAAATTCTAATTCTAATCAACGCGTACCGTTAGTCATATAACTTCTATAACTATCCTCTTTTCTCGATATTTGGATCTGGCGACAGCTCTTTCCATATGCGTAAATTGAAAGAAGCGCTCTGATTGGTTGCTTTCTTTAGATAACTCGTACACAAAATATAAACTGTAAGGATTGACATGCTAAGTGAAGGATATTTAACATGTTTATATAAATAAATATTACCAAATATAGTAAAATACGTACAATGAAACCACAGCTTTATTGTTCAATGCCATTATGATAGTTTGTTTTCACTCCGTTTTGGTGCACTAAATTAAAGAGCTACTTTGTGTATGAGTTATATACAGAAAGCAACCAATCAGAGCCCTGCATTCAATTTACGCCGGAAATTCATATGGAAAGAACTGTCGCCAGATCCAAATATCGAGAAAAGAGGTTAGTTATATGACTAATGGTACCCGTTGATTAGAATTAGAATTTGACTGAAGAATATTAAAATTGAATCTATACTCCACTCACTCCTACTTGGTCCGCAACGAAAGTCGCCCAGAAACAAGATAGAAAGTCTGGTCAAAATTTGTGGTAGCGAATTTCCTATTTTTAGATTCCTCCCTTGTGTATTTTTATAGTAGGGGTAACTTTATTAAAAGAAGATAAATATTTCGTGACAAGCCTCTGTGGTTTATAATACTGATTTATACCAATATACCTGCATGTACTTGTTCATTATTTTCACTAACTTCGTTGCCCGTGGCTATTTTATCATTTTTGTCTTAATGTGCAATTATTTCAGCATAAACACAGTGGCCTACCTGTTTTATATTAAGATTTGATCTATATTTTCCATTTGAGTCACCAAGTTTAAGTTATCAGAGCAAGACCAGCTCCAACTAACATAAATGTAAAAGCCTGGCTGTGTTGACCAAACTTGCTTGATTCAGGTCCAGCACAATACCCCGATAAAGGTATATAGCTTGATAAAGCTATATAGCTTTATCAAGGTATTACAAATACCTTGATCAAAGTATTTTATATGTAATGAAAATTCAAAAAGAAATTCTTAAAAAATTGAATAATTAAAATCGAGTTCTGAGTTGTTGTCAGTAAATTCAGCCATGCATGAAAATTACGTACTTATGGCAAGGAGGCAACATTATTCAAGTGATGCTTCATTTGTTGGTAATAGGACCATTTAAATGGCGAAAGCATCGTATTAATGACAATTTACAAGTAGGAGAATAATGTTTTTACTGATTTCTCGTGTCTCGGGAGTTAGCTCAGCAAAATAAAGTTGTATAAGGTAGGCAGAGTTGCGACACCAGCTGGTGTCACTGAATTCCCACTTTTCAATATGGCCTCCGCTCTGACTCTCCCCTGCACAAGTCACAATATAAAAGCGGGGGTTAGAGGATCAGTCAGAGGAATCTCGGATTAGTTTTTGATGAGTGACAAGGTTATAAAGTTAGTTAATCGATTCCTCTGTGCAGAATAACACCAAACATGAAATCAGCTTGGTTTATTTAAATGGTTCTTCTATTGCAGACTGCTTTTGCTGCTAAGGGTATCCAGAGAAGATGTCTAATATATTTAGGAAGTTATTGGGAAACAGTGGGGCGCCTGATGGGGGAAAAGGGGGCCCCATTAAGGGGAACACACCATCAGGAATGCAGCTAATGGGAGCTCAACTGCAAAGAAAGTTTGCCAAAGGAGTCCAGTACAATAGTAAGTATTACATGTAATTTCTTTAAAAGATTGAATATGATATTCCTCAATAATATTTTACAGATTTATACATGTACTTTCTAAAGGTTATAAATAGGAATACTGATAAACACTGATAAATCTCATTCTGTCTTGATGGGTCAGTGTTGACTCTATATTTTATTTTTCAGTGAAAATAGTGATCCGAGGAGACAGGACTGTGGGCAAGTCATGTCTGTTTTATCGTTTACAAGGACAGAAATTTCATGAAGAATACATCCCCACTGACGAAATTCAGGTCAGTAAAATTATATATCTCCTTACTAAGGAAATTCAGGTCAGTAAAATTATGTATATCTCCCTATTAATGAAATTCAGGTCAGTAAAATTATGTATATCTCCCATCTAATGAAATTCAGGTCAGTAAAATTATGTATATCTCCCATCTAATGAAATTCAGGTCAGTAAAATTATATATATCTCCCGTCTAATGAAATTCAGGTCAGTAAAATTATGTATATCTCCCGTCTAATGAAATTCAGGTCAGTAAAATTATATATATCTCCCTACTGAGGAAATTCAGGTCAGTAAAATTAAAATATATCTTCCCACTGTAGAATTTCTGATTTCTGACACAGAACCAAGACCAACAACAGTTATAATTAAAGTATTATAATTATAATTTTTGTCTGTCAGATTATAATTATACTGCCATGTATTTTATTACCATGTTTAAGACTGCCTGTTGCAGGTTTGCTGCATTCAGTGGAATTACAAGACGACAGATGATGTGGTCAAAGTGGAAGTATGGGACGTTGTAGATAAAGGAAAGAAACGGAAGAAAATGGATGGACTTAAACTCAGTAATGAAGAGGTAAGAGTCAGTCCTTAATGAACTAAAACTCAGTATTTAAGGAAGAGGTATGAGGTACATCGCTACCTCAAAAGTATTCGCGGAAAAACAAAATGGCTGATGTTATAAACAAAGTCCGTCTCAAAAGTTTTGGGGCAAAATAAATATTTAAAAAATTAAAAACACTTACTTTAATATTATGTCTAGCAACTATTTCGATCGAATAACTGCCATAATTCTCCTTGGAAGTGAATTGTACAAATTCTGGACATAATTTGGCTGATAGGAAGTCCAAAGATCGTAAATGGCGTTGAAAGTATATTTGGAGTTTTTATGTTTCGGGCAGTGTTTTGAAGATCATTTTTTATGCAAAGCCATATATTTTCTATTATGTTTAAATCTGGTGACTGGGCAGGCCAGGTCAAACAGTTTATATCATTGTCATGTTTATATTCTTTAATAATTCGTGCTCGATGCACAGGGGCATTATCGTCCTGAAACCGGTAAGTTCTGTTTGGGAAATGACGGGCTAAAACAGGCCAGAGATTGTTTTCCAGGATTTCTTGGTACTTTACAGCATTTATATTTCCATCAACTTTGCATAAAGTTCCGATGCCATGCCATGTTATACAACCCCATATCATTATTGACACTCGATCGCTTCTTAGGTCGAGGACACATGCACTGTGGATGGTAAGCCTCATTTGCAGATTGCCACACATATGCACGATTATTTTGTCCGATCACAATCTGTGATTCATCACTGAATATAATTTGCTTCCATTTATTCTGCACTGTCCATCTCCTCCTCGCAAGACACCACGAAAGTTGTTTTCTTTTGTTTACATTCCTCACGACCATTTTCTTCCTCACAACTCGCCTGAAAACCTTGTTCCTATGTAAAATTCGTTAGACAGTCTTATGGTGAACGTGTACTGGTCCCCCTGTATTAAAATCCGCAGTAATATCTCGCAGCGGTCTCTCACGATTACTTCTAACGAGTCCAAAAGTCTACTCTCTGCCTGCTTTGTAACTTTTGGAGGTCTGCTGGTTCGAGGCATTTTTTCAACATTTCCGTTGTTCATAAATCGTGTCCATATAGACCGAATTGTTGATTTAGGTAAATTCAACAATCTCTCAATTTCACAGTTTCTGAGTCCCTCTTGTTTTAAATCAACGACCAGTTTTTTAACCTCATTGCTAATTCTTTTGACTTGCGTCCCATATTGGAATTCACCCAACGATAAAAATAGCAGACGAAAACAGTGATACGTCATCAGATTAGGTCATTGGTCATGTGCTAAGAATAGGGAGATAACTCTAAATAAATCAACAATCGAGGAATAATGGGGTAAGAATCATTTTTAAAATGAAACTTAAAAATAAAAAATTGGCCATTTTTTTTTTTCGCGAATACTCTTGAGGCGGCGCTGTATGAGTTAGTCCTTCATGGACTTTAACCTCAGTAATGAATTGGTAATAGTCAGTACTTTATGGTCTAAAACTCTTTCGACAAGACGTCGGATGTCATTGATTCCTTATAAATGGACTGTTTTCTTTAATTTTGGCAAAAGTACATGTGTGACATAAATGTGTGTATTTTCTAAAAATTGTAATATATAGGTATTCAATGCATTAAAACATTATGTAAAGTGTTTATCATAATTAAGCTACAACTTCAGATTACTACTTTATCTTCATTCAAATGATAAATATGAAAGGATTTAAAATTTACCAAATATATTTTAGGAATCTGATGAGCCTAGCTTAGATGCTGAATTCATAGATGTGTATAAAGGAACCCATGGAGTTATCCTTATGTATGACATAACAAAACAATGGTAAGTCACCTAAAAAAAAAGGGGGGGGTGTTAGTCATATCAACATGATCAAAACACGGGGTTAATCGTTTCTGAAAACAGTGGTTAGTCTTCTCAAAACAGGGGTGTGTCATCTCAAAACAGGGGTATATCATCTTAAAATCTATCACACAATAAGACATATCAAATAATTGTAAGTCACCTCAAAATGGTCAATTGTCATAAAACAATGGGAAATCATTGATACAAAGACGAGAATAGCAGCAAACAGAAAAGGCAATGAGGATAAAGTCTCAACAATGGATACATGGGTAAGACACCTAAAGCAATGGTCAGAAAAGAGGAATAACTAGTTTGACCCCCCCCCCCCCCAGAAAAATCAATCATGGATAGTCATTTCAAAACAGTGAAGATATCAAAATAGTACATCTCATATAAAAGAAAAACTATGGAACAATATCACAAGTCAATGGAAATTCAGCAGAAAACAATGGGAAGATAGGAAGGGAAACATATTTTATTTAAATTTAACAGGGAAAAACATTTTCGATTATTGTGTGTAGGATGTCCATTTTCTGAAGCACAGATCCTAAGTGATCTCCAGATTAGGATTTCTAGTAGTAAAACGGGATTTGTTAATTCCCAGAGATATACTGGCAGACAAATTTTTCAGGGTTGGCTCATAATATTTTAGGGTCAGTCAGGGAACTGGAAACACAATGTATTTACATGTATCTTGGCCTGATAACTTGTAAATAATTTTATATAGGTATAAAATTTAAAGATATTTGATTGATAGCTTCACAATGCTGTGTTTTTAGGACCTTTAATTATGTGGAGAAGGAAATGGAGAAAATCCCGGTTCACATTCCTGTCCTAGTGCTGGGAAACCATCGAGATATGGGGCATCATCGCACAGTGCTGGAAGATAAGGCCCGCTATTTCTGTATGCATTATGAAAGGTAATTAGTAAGAGGGCACAAACAGTGCTGGAAGATAAGGCAGCTATTTTCGTATGCATTAGAAATGTAATTAGGAATAAGGCACAATCCTGGAAGACAAAAGCTTGATATTTTCTCACAGAATTATTAGTAGAA